AACATAAATACACTCTAAATTGAATGTTGCATGAATTGCCTATGATGTGTATCTATGGTTATTCTGATGATTTAATAAAATATTTTGTTAGCCGTTCTCAACATAGATAAATATTTAGATACGTTGTGTATTATCTTACTAAAATAATAAGTATCATAACATAACGCTGGTAATAGAAGTACATGATTGTTAGCAGAAAGAAAATTCAAGTTATCAAAAGAGAATAGAACGAGAATTTCACACAACAAAAAAGTCAGTCTGTCTCTGTAATTTGAAAAAGCCAGTTAATAAAGTGTTGCGAGTAACAAGCTATTCCTCTGCCAATGTCACGGAATTGTATAAATTTTTTTTATTAAGTAAATGTACTCGGGTTTCGCTTTTAGTGTACAATGATACCCGAGGGTGATCAATGTATATTATACATTTCGAAGAATATGAATTCGGTTCTTCCTTGCTCGGCACGTGCGAAGTGCTTCGGGCTGGAAAAACCGAATACATGGATTACACGGACGTTGTTGAGCTACATTGCCTGTGTATATATGATAAAAACTGTAACGAAAATATTACATTACTGACAGTTCTGTCAATCGGACGTCTGTCTACTGAGACCCAAACCTCCAGCTTTAGAGCTGTCTGTGTTTGTGTTGGTGCAGTGTGCAGCCGTTTGTGCCGTATGCAGCTGTCTGTACTGTGAGGGCGTATGCTGTTTTGTGCTGCTGTGACGTGTCGTACAGCAGTGTAGAGCTACGTGTGCAGTGCTGAGGGGTGCCGGGCTTGTGTATTCGAGTGCTTCGAATATTTCAACGTTGCTGGTCGGGTTGAGGTTGATCAAGCGTGGCGGACCAACGTGGTGGACGCTGATAGTCTAACCCAGGAATCAATGGTGGTCGGTGACTACAAATCTTTGCTTTGAATCAGGGAGTGTCTACATTGCTCCAGATACATAATATTTTAGCCGTGGGCTAATGCAGGGTTTTTTGTAATATCCAGTGTTTTTGGTATCGTGAGTAAAAACTATCACTTCGCTAGTTTGAGCGAAATCTCATTTGTTTGTAGAACTATCAAGTCGTTATTATGAACGAACCATTATTCGTTTTACTAGTATGAGTAAAACTAGCAATTCGTTATTTTTGAACGAACAATCATACTTTAGTCATTATATCAATTCGTCATTTTGAACATAACATTATTCGTATTTTACGATCATATTTCTGTTTGTGATATACCGTGGATCGTTTTTTTTTCATTTGTCTCAGTAACATATTTGTTGCATTTAAAGATCGTGCTTATTATGTTAATTAGTCTCATATTGGGACCCAATGCAAGCACGTGTCTATAATATTTCGTTTCATACCACCATATAACATTAAACATTTTATTGCATTCCCATCAATGGTGTTTTGTTATTAATCCGAAAATCCCAAACTTGGTTATCATGTTACAGCCAATTCTTTTCGCTTTTTTCAGAATCATTGTTTATAATATTTTGTACTTGTGTAGGACCTGTCAAAGAAGTATAATAGAAATATCGTCGGCATGTAATAAATTTGATATGAATCCAGTGCAATATTCTGCAATTACATATCTCTCCCTCAAAGACAAACAAGGAAAAACAATAAGTTCTCAGGAAATACATAATTCAATGATAAACACAAATGGTGACAAACCGATTTTATTAAATTTAAGATGTAAAGAATTTGGAATTTACAGAAGAAATGGCTTTTAGCACATCTGTTAGGAATTATGTTTCAATTTCTTTTCTGCAATCGAAGACTTTTTCGATGCGTAGGAAAAATGTAGCAATCAATATTACTATTTTGTTGTGTCAATTTATGTTATGCGACATGATCGCTATCTGTTAAGTGTGACGTGTATCTATGATAGTTGCTAGAACGTTTTTATTAAATGAAGAATTTAATTTGATATTGTATGAAACAGTACAAGTTTTAACAGCATCTTGAAAAAAAAAAACGTTTATATAATAAATCCCTCATAGCCATCTCACTGTAACGAAATGCGGTAGGTTCTCATAGATAAATCGGACAGGTTTTAAAACTGCCACCTTATGTATATCAATAATCTAAGTTCAAATAAGCTTTATCGCAGCAGAGAACCGGTAGATCAATGTATCGACGAATGATCCATTATTAATGAGTGACGATAAGACTCTTTAAAATACAAAGACAACGCTAAATGTATGGCTCAGTTAGCGCTAAATTTATACATCTAGTACTAGTACCACTGACCAAGTTATATTGATATCTAATAAAATAACCATTGGTCAAGACATATCGATATCAAGTACAATTATGATTTGTCAACTTCTTTTGTTATCTAGTGTAAGTACTATTGGTCAAGTTATATCGATATTTAGTAAAAGTATCATTGGTCAAGTCTTATAGATATCTGTTGTAATCACTTTTGTTGTAGAGAACACGTGAATATGGAGAGAATTGGTTTAAAGTCAGCTGTTGTGCCCCAACGACATATTGGGTTATGGGATTGATGATGTTGAATATGGTGACCATTGGTCAAGTTATTATATCAATATCTAGTACAAGTACATTTGGTCAAGTTATATCTACGTGCTCGGATGAATTATATATTTATTTCCAATTGGAGAAAGATACGCTTCTTCTGATATGCTTTATTTATTTTCAGGCCAAAACATTTTTCAGAAAGTATGCAAGGATTGTGCTTATATTGCTGCAGTGGATTAAGTTCATCATGAAGTAAGTACGATTATATTCCTACAGTAATCATTACACCATCTGTGGGTAGTCATCAGTTTTGTGTTCAGTTTAAAATAGTTTTTGATCAGATTATTTCTTGTCAGTTCTGCTTATTTTTAAAATGATAAATCTCCCTAATAGCAGTCGATTGGAAAGTGAGGAACGTCAATGTGGACCTTTCAAATAAGCGTTAATGCAAGCAGCAATTACTGCATAGACGGGCCACATAAGCCTGAACATAAATTATTGTCATTAATCTATATCTTTACTATCCAATGTTCAGATATTAAGTTACCCAATTTATACCCTCGGAATCATTTTTCAGTGTTGGCCTAAATATATGTACTGGTTTTCATTAGTTGCCTCCTTTTGTATGTAATGCCAACTAACCAACAGCGTATAACAGCGGTGGATTGTACATCAGCCGAAAATGGTGCAAGCAACTAATAATTTCGACATACCAACTACCATAGGCTTGATGCTGGTTCTGGTAGGGAAAAAAAAACACATTGATGTACTCAAGATTGTTTTAATTATTTTATCTTGCAAGTGTCTAATTTCGTCACCACATAATTTATCAAAAGGAATCTTGGAAAATATTGGGTATTTATTCCAACCTGATATTGGGTATATTATTCGCTTTAAAGAAAAAAAATAGCGGGCTAGAAGTATTTTCTTTTCTATCAAAGACAAAGATCTTAAAGGATAAAAACTAAGTTGTTCACATACTGTAATGAGCCAGATAGCTATGTTTGATTGGTGGAATGCCAGGCAGGACCTAATGTTGAAATTATTAGTTGACTTCAAATTATACCTTGTAAGTTTGACATAAAAATATAACTAACTACCCAAGAGAAGTCATGACAAGTGGAAATATTGTGCTTGTGAAACACAGTTCAGCAGCGGCAACTTTCATGTTTATGAGCTTGTTTTAGAGGTGTGCTCATCATGTTTCGGTCATGTAGAAACAATGTTTAAACTTGAATTAACAAAAGTTTGATTGTATGCAGTGACTTTCGGTCGCATCTAATGAAATTTAGAGACCCCAACCAATGTATTATCTAATCGATATGACAAAGTGTAGATAGGTTAACATATCGGACCCTTGGATAGCTAAGATGTTATGGTTAGCCCAAATATTTGCAAGCTGTCTGCAAGGTTTCTTATTGACTCCAACAACAACAACTACAACAACAACAACATTAAAAATAAATAATAATAATAATAATAATAATAATAATAATAATAATAATAATAATAATAATAATAATAATAATAATAATAATAATAATAATAATAATAATAAATTAATAATTCCTCTTATTATCATTGGAATGCTGCAGTATATGGTAAGTTCATAATGGCTGTGAAAGTGTGTGATTGTAGTTTATCAAGCACTAAAATAATAGTTGCTTTTAGTTGGGTGTGCAGTGTTTACATAAACAAAGTACGTGTTATATATCCATATCTTTGCGTCTATGTATGTCTGTCTGTCTGTCTGTCTGTCTGTTTATCTATATATCTATCTATCTATCTATCTATCTATCTATCTATCTATCTATCTATCTATATATATATATATATATATATATATATATATATATATATATATATATATATATATATATATATATATATATATATATATATATATGTGTGTGTGTGTGTGTGTGTGTGTGTGTTTGTTTTACAAATTACATGACTCATCTGATAAATTAATTCTGAATGTTAGAAAGAAATATACAGACTTACACATGTCAGAGTAATATGTATATTGTTTACTGTTCAATAAGCGTTCACGTAAATTCTACCCACAAAATCTTCTCTATATCTTGCCAGCAAAGGAACGCCTTCACTGTTTTGAAAAAAAAAAATCTTACATAACGATATAAGTTCTCTCAGTGCTTTTTACTATTTGTGATATATTTGCACCAATGAAAAGATAACTAACCATGTCGCTGTTATAACCATCCTTACATAGGAGTCACACCCGCATGACCAGTAATCAATTAATTTTCATATTCACATAAGTGTGTGTTTTTAGATTTTTAACATAACTTTAACAATTTTTCAGTCATATCGCTGCGATGCCTCCAGTGTGACAATTTAGAGTTATGTCTATCACTTGGACATCATGCCGCAGACATGTGGCATGATGTCCCACCCAGTCACATTATCCCAACACAAGGCCCAACAGTCCTAACACTAGCCTTTTAATGCTGAGCGCCAAACGAGATAGCTGTTAGTACTAGTTTTAAATGTCTTTGGTATATCTGATCAGGGGTTCGAACCCGCAACCTCCCGCAGCCGAGGCGGTCACTCTAACCACTAGGCCACCGGAGAGGTATATTTACATAAGTATAATTACTTCTGTTTTGTTGTAGCTTCTTTTGGTATTATTATTTTTATTATTATAATGTAATAATGCATAATGTTAAGATAACGGATATCGCTCCTCAATTTGTATTTCAGTAACATCCAGTCTTCCATTAAATCTTTGAAGTTCAAACCACGAAGGAGCGACACTGCAATTTTTATTTAATAATTTTTTCCATTTAATATCCAGTCATGCAATTTTTGAGAATTTAGCACTTTAATTTCTGCTTGTTGTCTGTGTTTTGTAGCTGCCTTCAACAAACACTTAGCGAAAGTGAAAAGTGCTTTGGATATTTGCAATCTAGCTTGGCACTATTTGTTGTCAGTTATTTATCTTAACCAGTCATCGTCTATATTAATACATACTGGTATGGAATGTGAATGAAGAAATGATAAATAGGAAGATGAAAGGAAAATAAGGAAAAATAAATCCTGACTAGATAAGGGCGTCATCGGAAGCCATATCTGTCGAAACGCATCTTTCCAGTGCCTCTTTTTTAATACATGTTTTCTCCTACAATGTCAGAGTGCAGCGCCACACTAAATAATACTACAATGACAATGAAGTGATTTGAAACATGTTAATTTTAAAATAGGATATACGGCTTAGGGGAGGGAGAGACAGAGCTTTGTAACGTCTTATTTGAGAGGGTCTGGTTTTTGTGACTAGTAAGGGAAAGGGGTCAAAAATTGGCCAAAATCGCGTGACATCCTTTATGGATGGCCCCCTACGCACAACTGCTTATTATATCAATCTTGCTCGTTTACACAAGTTCATATTCTCCCGTGCTCTCCCCGTCTTCTCCTTTCTCTAATCTTCCAATGGCGTCCTATCCCACCCTGAAAGCTTCCTGTTGATTAGAAGGAATGCAGTTTTGTCTCCTTGCTCTACCACACGAGAATTAACACATTCTCACCGACCTTTCTTCACCATAATGGCAATTAAATCATTAATCAACTCATACTCTCACCTACAAATAGTACACACACGCTTGTTCTACCATAAATGCTATAACAACAAGAACATCACGATTTTTGATACATATACACATATCCCTGATTTTCAGTATGGTAAACTATCAACATCAACTATATTCCTACACATTTCCTACCTTACAAATTAAAAAATGCACCTACAAATATAAAATACCTAATTAAACGTGCACAAGGCCAACAATGGCTAACTCTGCATAATCCACAACTATACATTCGGATACAAACAATTACAAGTTCTAATTATACTCACTATTAAATTCAGCTATGCACCACGGTGTAACATCGTAGCAGACTACATTACCTATTTCGACTCTTTCCTAACAACTTCATACATTATTTTTGAATAGGGATAATTCGCTGTACCTTACATTACGACATATTTTCCGGTCTGTTAGCCTAAGCCGACCGGTGATAGCAAAGGCTAATTGCAAATCTGAGTTTATCGCCACTGTGGCCGTGTTCTTTAATAATTAACCACGAACTGGACGGTCAAGCAACGGTTAAGTCTCGGACAGGTAATTTCTTTGTTTTAGAATCGGTCTAAGGTCATAATATTATATAACACGAATTTACATCACTCAAACTATTTTCAATTACGAATCATATCAGGAACAAGAGGCAGGAATTGCTATCAAATGTTCAAACACAACGTGACAGTCTCACTAACATATTAAGAAGTTAGAACATTTGATAACCAGTTTATATCTAATCAATAATTAAATATCAGTAATGGATATTCAGCAAAAATGTTTAATGTAGTTAATTAATGACTAGAACATCTGGATCATTAATCTGTGTGGTTCTTACAATTGCTGCTTTAAAATAAAGCTACGTATTGCAACTGATTTCAGAATACGATAAACATAATGATACAAAAAACAAGATACGACACAGCGCAATACAAGGGCCTCTACATGATACCTATCACTAAATAGTTTCCCCTCCGATGCGTATCATAGGACATAAGGCCCACTACACTATGTATCATGAAATATAGATACAGATACGACTGTAATCATGATACATGCCAAATGTATAATTTCTATTTAAACATTGATAATGAAATTGCCCATGATATACACATTGTACGCATCTTTTATTAAGACATAAAAATGTATTTCATGTTAAAACTGTTATTATACAACATTCTCTTCATTTGGTTCATGGATGTTTTGAATCAATGGGCTGGGTGATATACCTCGGGGTTTAGATCTGATATTTTTGTTTTATTTGTAACATTTCTAATTCCATTCTTATTAGTGCTATGTCGTGTATATGTCGCTTAAAGAAGTATTATTTGTGTAGGTGAGTGGGAGGGTAACTATCTTTGTATTCCTTAGTTTACCATGCATCGAAATAATCCGAAAATAGTGATTTTAACACTGAATCGAAGAGCTCTTTGTAACTATTATTATTATTATTATTATTATTATTATTATTATTATTATTATTATTATTATTATTATTATTATTATTATTATTATTATTATTATTATTATGATGATGAGAACTTTGTCAGTGGACAGTTGGCTACAATGTGTGACATGGTCTGAAGAGCTCCACAGCAACAGGAAGAGTAAGTTGCCTGGCCCCATTGGACAAGGTTGACTGCACAACAACCATATCTTGTCCGAAAGCGTTCGATGTGGTCCACGGACGACGTTGAAAGTTGAAGCCAGGAGGGCAGACAGAATGCTCGGCTGTAAGGGAGTAATTTACAACCTCTGTGGAAGACCACGCCTTACTCCATGCCGAAATAGCTGTCATATTCTTCGGCAACGAACCTAACCAAATTGGGTGTCTCGAAGTTAAGCTGACTGCTATATGTGAGGGGATGTCCATGTACAGTGGAAGTTTCTCACTAGCATAGACCTTAGCCAACGCTTCTGTAGTTTCTTCCTGTCGATGTAGATATGGAGGAGGAATATTGCTGAGTACTGGAAGCCATGGTAAAGGAGTAGAACCTAGTGTTCTACAGATTATGCGCATTGTTGTGTTGAGCTGTAATTTGTAATTAGAGCGAATAATTTAAATAAATTCTCTCAAATGCTAATTGAGAAACAACTAAAATTGAATAATCTAAAGATTAATTTTTAAGATAACAATTATAATTGCAATATAATCAACCTTAAGACAAACCCAAATACACCAGTACAAATCTCATTTTAACAGAAATTTCCATCAAATGATAAACAAAACATATTTCTAGAAAAATCTTAAGAATCAAGGCTATTGCTAGAACATAAGCCTAGTAAACATCATTAACCAACATGAAATTAAATATGTGGGCCCAACTCCAACCTTCAATTATTAACAAAACTCAATCACACAATGCCCTATATATATATATATATATATATATATATATATATATATATATATATATATATATATATATATATATATATATATATGTATATGCATATATATGCATATATATATATGCATATATATATGTATATGCATATGTATATATATATATGTATATGCATATGTATATATATATGTATGTCTCTATATATGTGTATATATATATATGTATGTATATATATGTATATGTTTTTATCTATATATGTCTGTTTATATGTATATATCTATATATATATCTATATATATATATATATATATATATACATACATACATACATACATACATACATACATACATACATATATATATATATATATATATATATATATATATATATATATATATGTATGTATACATATACATATACATATGTATATATATATATATATATATATATATATGTACATATACATATACATATACATATACATATATATATATATATATGTACATATACATATACATATACATATACATATACATATATAAATGAATAAAGATAGCCAAAGACACCTTTTCGAAGACCAATACTTTTCAAGTAAAACTTCTACGATATATCTACATTTATGGAAAAAATTAAATTTACTTGCTGCAAAACAATTGATTACAGCATATGTCGTAACGCATACAAAGTATCTTTAGAGCAAATTATGAATTGAATTTTTACTGAAACAAAATATTAGCTAAATATTTTAAATATAGTTTAATACTACTCTCAGCTCCATTTGGAAACACAACTTATAGTATCTCAAATAAAGTATTATTTTATCCAATTTAGCAAGCTTTGATGATGACATACATTCAATTAAAATGTTTAGTAAAAGCATATAAACATCTAACTAAATTCCAATAAAATTCTTACGCTTATTATTGAGTGTAGAAAAGAAAGTCATCATCGAAAGATGTAGATCGAATCGCATCAGAAACTTTTTAACGTTATGTGTAACTTATCAGGCCATTTTTATCTTTCTGTGTAGCGTATCACACCTTCTTTATCGTTTTGTGCATGGCATCGGGCCATCTTTATCGTTATGTGTATCGCATCAGGTTGCCTGTGTCGTTATGTGTATCGCATTAGGCTACCATTATTGTTAGGTGTATTGCATCTGGCCTCTTTATCGTTATGTGCATCGCATCATGCCGCCTTTATCGTTATGTGAATCGCATCATTCCCTCTTTATCATTATGTATATCGCATCAGGCTACCATTATTGTTAGGTGTATTGCATCTGGCCCTCTTTATCATGCCGCTCCCTCTTATCATAACATCGATAGCTATGCGTTATCTGTATTTTCCAGTAGCATTCCTCCCAGAGGACATTTTGTTTCTGAACAGTTCAAAATAAGCATGCAGGTATTCGAACAAAATATTTCTGGATGGAAACTAAGTCTGGTCACATCGGTCAATAATTGCATAATAGCAAACAATTATGTGTATTATAATACACTAATACAATTGACGGGTTTACAATAAACATGAGCATTGCTTTTCAAAAGCATATATTTAACGCAACATAATTATGCTGGTGGAATACTGTATTTTTTACGACGAGACGATATATCGTATCGCAAGCTCCATATCAAGATAAACGCGATACAGATTTAAATGATCAGCATTAGAACCAACTGTCAATAACAAAGTGATAATAACAAAATGTTGTTCAAATGTTCAACATTTGAATAGGTGCTGTATTTATTATATTTAATATTTACAATAGATCAGTGCTCTAAACCTACTGAACCTCAACAATATTTAATCTATCAGATGCCAGGCCCAGCACGTAATAGAAAACTTCCTTACGGTATGTGCGTTCGTACTAAATGTGTATTCCTTAGGCTCAATCCTGATACCTTTAAAAGGAGATTCGGAGAGCTAAAGAGGGACCTTAGAGGGAAAAGATAAAAGAGGAGTTATATTTAGGAGGCTATAAGCAAAGCTAGACTAATCGATAATGGAACAGTCTCAAACATATCAAATAACAAGAGAACAAAAAGCTTGTTAACTTTCCACCCCAAACATACACCACCGACCATCCGGAAGAATGATCAGCTCATTCAATCGTCCGACTGTCTGAAAGATACATTTCAGTAAGTTCATACGGTTGCGTACCATAATTAGCAGATGACCATCTGGTACGTACCAAATTAACGTCAAACAAGACCACAGATTCAGAGACACGTACTAGTGCAAATGACATTGGCCTAATTTGCACACCTAAGCCGGAGACTGAATCTTACAGAAGTTTGACAGCAGAAATTAGCTACACGAGCAATCAGAAATTAGGATGTGGAGCCAAAATACAAGCCAAAATACAATCTGGTCTGACATACAAGCTATGTGCCACTCAATATGTTGGCAAAATCATTAATTTGAAAAAGCTAATCACAAAAGCCACATGGTCGACAAAATCAACGTGAAAAGCCGACAAGCACTACAACTCAATTGGACATTCAGTAGAGTACATCGAGATGATAACCGACTGAATCAAACCTGGGATGACCGACATAAAATGCACACCTTAGGAACGATGCTGGACACTACAATTGAAAATTCATGAGTATTTTGGTCTAATTGAAAAAATCTAACTTCTTGCGGTTTAAAGTAATTATTATCATTATTATTATTATTATTATTATTATTATTATTATTATTATTATTATTATTATTATTATTATTATTATTATTATTATTATTATTATTATTATTATTATTATTATTATTATTATTATTATTATTATTATTGGTGGTGGTTGTGGTTGTGGTGTCCATTATCATGATACACAATTCTCTTGGCATATATTCTTTAGAACTTAAATGCATAACTCTTTCCTTAGAAAATCTTGTAGATGGCGTTGATTTTTCGTCACTTTGTAAATAAAACCGTCCATTGTTCACATCCTTATATTAGGTGTAAACACTGTTGATTCTCTTTGTGACATACACAACATCTCACTAGTTTATTATTAGATACACAACTCTTTTTGTACATTTTTGTTGCAGATTCTTTTTTACATTTTGCTTCCTATATGTACGCTGTTTATTCCCCTGACGACAAGCTTTTAAAGCTTAAAACGTTGAGAAAAAACATATATATATATATATATATATATATATATATATATATATATATATATATATATATATATATATATAAATATATATATATATATTTATATATATATATATATGTATGTATATATGTATGTACGTATATATTCGTATATATGTATATATTTGTATATATATATATATATATATATGTATATATATATATATATATGTATTTATGTATGTATATATATATCTATGTATGTATTTATCTATGTATTTATCTATTTATTTATATATTTATGTATGTATGTATATATGTATATATATATGTATGTCTGTATATATGTGTATATATATATATATGTATATATATATATGTATATATATATATATATATATATATATATATATATATATATATATTTAAAGTGATATCCACTCTCATTTACTTTTTGTCGAAGGAAGGGGGTGAAACGAGCGATCGAGCAATCAAAACGAGACAGCGTTAACTTGTCTATGGTAGTGCTATGTTAAATTTTCAATGTTGTACCTTTTTGGTTTGAACACTAATGATATAAGTATAAACAGGCTTGTATTGGTCCTACAAAGGCACCATCGTTTTCCTTAAAATATGTTGTATGTCCTATATATTAGATCAGATAATTCCTGTGTATATAGTAACAACAACAACAACAACAACAGCAATAATAATAATAATAATAATAATAATAATAATAATAATAATAATAATAATAATAATAATAATAATAATAATAATATAATATAATAATAATAATAATAATAATACAAAACAGAACTTCAAAAAGGCACTATTTAAACGTGATTGAATTATGACCTAAATGAACATTAATTGCTTTGAAATAAATTGGCGTTTATAAGGTAATGATTTTATTTGTGGGTTGGTTTACATGTGCATTGTCCTTATGCTGACTGCAATTGATGCAAGTAAAATTTGAGTTCCTAAAACAAGAAAGGAAAGGTATCTCACTGGAAGAAGATCTAGATAAGTTAGTTCCCCAAACGTTAAACAGGTGAATGCACATATCACCCAACGTTTGTTTGTTTTTATTCGAGTTTGCTAACCCGACAACATTGGTTGACTCATTTTAAGACAGTTTTATTAGTCGTTTGTTTTACTTTTTCCTATTATTTATTTCTTCTTTGAAGATTCACCCTTCATTTACTGATATAATTAGCCAGGTGTTCCATCCACGTTGGTGTTGAGTGTTTGTGGATATGATTTGTCTCTTTCTTTGACGAAGAGATTCTTTAGTTCAAAAACGCTAGGAAACTGTTTAATAATTTATACGCCGTTACGAGCTTTTTAAAAGAAAATTCCTTTCATATTGGTGACTTTGCTAAATGCATAAAAACACGACTGAATGACTGTGCACACTTTGTAGAAAACACTTCCAGAATTTTGTCATGCTATGTCAAGATATCTTTTATAAACAGTGAAAGGAGTTATCTTCTATGAAATGATGGAATGTGGATTTTATAGGATACATTTACGTACACGCTTAATCAAAATGCAACCATTCTCCTCTGCTATTTGTGTACGTGTATATCATCTTTCCGGATGAATCTTTGAATAGTTCGCCTTATTTATAAAAGACTTCCTAAAATTCCGTAATAGATTCACAGCTTTTACATTGGTCCTGCATTTGAGTTTATAACAATAAATTTTTATGGAACTGTATCCGAACATTATTCAGGTCCAAATTACATGCCATCAACGTGATCTACAACGCAGCAATTATTCAAAACATCTAGCATTGTCACGATATGTCGATTATTCTAGCGGAAACAAATACCTGGATGTGTTGAAGTCCAGTTGTAATTAAATACAAATACATATATATATCTGTGGACTAACCATGAACCGACAATTGAATAATCAAGGAAATCATGGACAAATTCACAAATTTGTCACAAATTCAAAATAATTTAAATGCTTTTACCACCTACCTATTAAAATATTTAAGTTGTAAAAGAAAAAAAAAACAAAAAGCAAGGCTCCAGAGGGAGTCGAACCCTCGACCTCCAGTTTACAAGACTGGCGCTCTAACCAACTGAGCTATGGAGCCTTGTACGACAAATACGCAATATAATTAATACTCTAAATTACATACTGCCAATAGTAAACTTCTACAGTATTCTATATTTGTTGGAAACCCGCCCATAAGGGTAATCGATACATGCAAACAAGACTTAAGAAACATTTACAAAAGAGATTGAATGCTATGGATATACATTAGTGCAAAACATGAGTTGAAGGTGCCTGACTGTACAGGATCGTTAATCTTTACAACTGGGCTTTCAGGGACTATTCATTGCTTAAAGGTGACATATTAGCTTCAGGTTAGGCTCCACAGTGTTACTATAGTCCCAGCCTATTAATTCGTTTGGTTGTAAACACCCCACCACCACCACCACCACCAACGATTTCGATAACGGAAACATTTAATTTGATAAAAAGTGCAAAGAACGTATTCAATTCATTCATTGATTAATATTTTCTAACCTGACGGAGTAAAATGGCCATAACACCGTCATCGCCTGCGGGTTTCTTGCGTAACGGAAGTTTTCATTGTAATAGACGGACATGCTTGAAACTCATTTTCAGTTCCTGGACCAATCCATTTTCAGCAAAAGGGGTGAATGCGCGACAAAGGATGTACATATATATGTCGTCTGCTTCCGATATATAGTGTCGAATCAAACAATGGAAAAGAATGACAACAATATATATATATATATATATATATATATATATATATATATATATATATATATATATATATATATATATATATATATATATATATATATATATATATATATATATATATGCTTAATGCATTAACAAACATATTCACTGATCTATTGTTAACTAATTGTTCTTAGCAGTGATGACAAATAATTCCTTTGCTTTCTAAATTACTTTAGTAGTTTATCAAATGAAAAGATAATTTAATGAGTATGGTAAGCGTTATTATGCATGGATTTTGCATGCTATAGAAATTTATACCACTGAACTTCATTTTAAGTGAAATGTATTAACCACGAATTACATTATATGTGTTTATTTTAAATAATCGAGCACTTCAGTTATTATTATTTCCTAAGCGGCTGTAAAGTATGTGAATGAAGGGACGGTGCTGGCGGTGTCTGAGGTGAACCGTAATTCGGACTATATTAGTCACACATTCGTAGCACTCAGTAGAGTTATGATTAGATTAAATCGATATAAAGTAGGTTTTGCCCGCTCCAACACACTTTCGTTATCACTTAAACTTCGGCGCGCCTTTTTCATCTCTCCTGGACAAAAGCGATAGATTGATTATTAATGAAGATATTGACGTGAATTGAGCATTGAAAACACAAAGTCAATCACGTAATAAGAAACAAATCTTGTTTTTCAGGTTTTTAATATACAAAGATAAAGCTCATCAAACTTGTTATATATATATATATATATATATTTATATATATATATGTATATATATATATATATATATATATATATATATATATATATATAGCTTATTTTTTTTTCAGCAAAACAATTAATCACAACGTCACCTGTGTCGCAATACATAATCTGTAGGCTTAGACTAACACATAAACTGAATGCTAATTGAAGTAAAATGATAGCTATGTTTATATGGCTAAATACTTCAATTATGTCAGTTTAGAAACACAACTTACAGTTATATAAAAAATGCAATTTTATCCAATTTAGATGCCTTTGATCATGGCATACTTTCAATCTGAATTTTCTTAAGATCATATACATTTATAACTAAATTCCAACAAAATGGTTACGCTTTTTATTGAACGCACAAAAGAAAGTCATCATCAAAGGATATGTGGATCGTATCGCATCGGGTCCTCTTTATCGTTATGTGTATGGTATCATTCCTCCTTTATTGTAATGTGTATCACATCATGCCTTCTTTATCGTCATGTGTATCGTATCATGCTTTCGTTATCGTTATTTGTATCGTATCATGCCCTCTATATTATCATGTGTATCGTAACAGACATCGTATAATGCCTTATTTATCGTTATATGTATCGTTTCATGCATTTTATATCGTTATGTGTGTATGATCATGCATTCTTTAACATTATTTTTATCTATCATGATTTTTATCGTTATGTGTATCGTACCATGCCTTCTTTATCGTTATTTATATCGTGTCATACCTTCTTTAACGTTGTTCATTATGTATCATGCATTCGTTCTCGTTATATGCATCGTATCAGGCCCTCTTTATCGCGACATCGATACCTATGCACATTTCTATTTGTCAGCAGCATTCTTCTCCATGGCAATTTTTTTTTTCATTATAAACAGTGCAAAATAATTATGCAGATATCCGAACAAAATATGTCTGGAGGAAAACTAAATTTGCTAATTTTTTAAACTAATTACATAATAACAAACTATTCGATGATTGATAGTTCACAAATATAGTTAAATATTTTTAAATAAATACAAACCATGCATTTCAATGCATAGCTTTAACGATGCATTAATTCGTGTACGGAATGTTAAATTTTACAACAATAACATACATGGTATCGTAAACGTGAGAACATGTATTAAATGTTTGACCAAATACAATATTGGAGGGGATGGATCAGGTCGTCTATCCCATGATTTCTTGCATCCATGGTGACGAAGAGAGTTTTCTTTGCAAGGTTTCCTTTTTGCAATCCTTAACCAACACTTCCTACAAATTCATGAGACTATAATGGGAACTTAAATAATACCTTCATATGACAATTTATTTACGAGAAAACTGGAATAAACTCTTCTTTACTCAATATACCTCTATATTGTTGTAGATTCGTTGTGAACATACGACTGATGTGGATCCAAAAAAGTGGCTATTTGATGGTGTACATTGAATTCGCAAATAGCTTCCATCATACAATTAAATGTATGTTGTAGTCTTCAAACTCATCCAGTATCATTTAGTTAATCAATCCCCCACCCCCACCCTTACCCCGGCCAGGAAGGGAAAATAGAATTAGATATGTATTGTAAACCTTCTGACCATCAGTAGTATCTACTCCTGGTCTGTTGCCACCCTAGCACGTAATAATATATCTTCGGTACGGTATGTAAGCATATGCTCTAATTTTTATAATTTTGAAAAGACTAGGAGGGCTCAAGAGACACCTAAGAAGAATGGGATAAAGAATGAGTATCATTTAGGAGGTTATTTACAAAGCTCGACTCATTATAATGGAGCCGTCTGAAGCATAAAAACACAACAACAGAAGAGAAAATAGCTTGTTCCTATCGTTGAAACTCCCCATCCACCCCATCCCCACCCCACTCCACCCCAAATATACAACAACCCATGAAGAATGATAACCTTATTGTATTGTTTGACGGGTCTGATAAATATTTTTCAATGAGTTCCCATGGTTGCGTACCGTACGTCGAAAATACTCAAGATCTGGCACATGCTAAATTATGGTCAAACAAGACCGCAGATTATGAAACACACACCAGTGCAAACACAAGCGTTGCCTAATATGCACAAATTTGCACGAATTGAATCGTTCATATGGTCGACAACGGAGATAGGTAAACGAGGAATCAGTAGAGAGGATGTCCAGCCCAAATGCAACCTATTCTGACATGCAAGATATGTCACTCAATATGCTGGCTAAACCGGTGATTCCAGAGAGCGAATGAATAACCAAATAAGGCACATTGGCAAGAAAATCAACGTGAAAATCGTCAACCACTACAACTCGACTGGAATTTTAGTCGAGTCACTTTAGCTAATACCGACTGAATCAAACCTACGGTGGAGGATATAGTACCCACACGTAAGGAACGATAATGAATACTGCAATTGAAAACTCATGTAAAGTTTGGTTAAACTAAAAAAATCTATCCTTCTTGTTGCGGTTTTATCTCGATTTCACCCATTCGGTTTTTTTTACCTGTACGCAATTTCTGCGATAATATTTACCCAAGTTCTTATAATATCATCATCATCATCATCATCATCATCATCATCATCATCATCATCATCATCATCATCATCATCATCATCATCATCATCATCATCATTATCATCATCATCATTATTATTATTATTATTATTATTATTATTATTATTATTATTATTATTATTATTATTATTATTATTATTATTATTATTATTATTATTATTATTGGTGGTGGTGGTGGTGGTGGCGTCCGTTATCACGCTACACAATTCTCTTGACATCCTTTCTAAGGAATCTCCTTACACAACTCTAGGATATAACATCTTTAAGGGAAAGTATTGTAGATGTCATTGATTTTTCGTCACACTGTATATCTGTCCATTGTTCACAACTTAGAATTAGGTATAAACTTGTTAGTCCTCTATGTGACATACACAACGTTTATTTTTGGTACACAACTTTTTATTTGCATATTTCTTGTTGCAAAATCACTAGTGATTTTAACATGTATGATTCCAGCTAGTTATTAGATTCTGTGTTTTGTGTTTGTTTTGTGTGTGTAAGCTATTTATTCAACTGACGATAAGCTTGTTTATCTTTGGGAAACTCTTATGAGCAGAAGTGATCTCCAGTTTACATTAGGTGTTTGTCAAAGATACTTAAAACGGGGTTAATCAATAAGCACAAAGGACACTGCTGACTTTACAGTGGAATTGTGTTTTTGAAATTTAAGTGTTGTGTCTTATTGGTTTAAATAATCAATGATATTACGGTAAATTGGTTGGTTTTAACACACAAAAGTAGAAACAAGAGCGCCATCGATATTTTAAAATAAAGTGGTATGACATGTTATATAGCAGATAATTCGTATGTAGTAGTAGTAGTAGTAGTAGTAGTAGTAGTAGTAGTAATAATAATAATAATAATAATAATAATAATAATAATAATAATAATAATAATAATAATAATAATAATAATAATAATAATAATAAACCGGTAATTATTGTAAAGGTAATGGAAAAAATACTTTTGTAAAACACATAAGAGATGTTTCTAAGGGTTATTGCAAGTATTAAGCTTTAATTCAACACCATTGTGAGATAGT